CCAGGGTCAGGGATATCTTTAACCCGTCTTTATCCCATCGGGGTGCTGCTCAGAGCATGTGTGAACACTTCGTTAGCACGTTAGCTTGTTTAGCAACTCCTCACTTTCCGTCTTAAAACAATCAGAAATGTTTCAAACTTCCTGCTTTTTCTTTCCCGGACTCAAACATAAATCAGGTCATTGGGAACATTTTCAAATATAAAAAGTAGATAAAAATAAATCGCCTACACCTCCGTTCTTCAGTCTCCGAGGTAAAGTGCCACTAAAAAAACCTTTATATTGATTATTTCTTTAGAATTTCTTTTTATTTACATCATATAATAGATTTGTTTTATTACTATGTGTAATTATTTGCAGTATTTATTAAGGAGTTATCGTAGGTTTTTGGAACGAATTATACAAATTACAGTGTATTCTGATGGGAATATTTGAACCAATATACCAATATTTTAACATACAAAGTCGGTCCTGTAACCAGTTAAATTCCTATGTAGTGTAATGACAGATAAACAACCATTTTAGATCAATTTTAGTACAAAATCATGGAGGAAAGGAGTGCCCTCAGGCTCTAAATACATGACAACCCGTCTTCTAGCTTTAATTTCTTTCTATTTACATCATATAATACATTTGTTTTGTTGCTATGTGTAATTATCTTCATTACTTATTAAGGAGTTATCGTAGGTTGAACGAATTCTATGAATTACGTGGGAATATTTGAACCCAAATAACAATATTTTAACATAGAAAGTTAATATACGAAGTAAGGTCAAGTTCCTATTTAGTGTTATGACATAAACAACTATTTTAGATCAATTTTAGTACCAAATCATGGAGGAACGGTGATCTGAAAGTGAGATTGCCGAGTCACCTCAGGCTCTACGATAAGTAATTGTCGTAGGTTTTTGGAACAAATTATAGGAATTACAGTGTATTCTGATGGAATATTTTAACCAACGTACCAATATCTTAACATACGAAATAGGTCCTGGAACCAGTTAAATTTCCTATGTAGTTTAATGACATAAACAACCATTTTAGATCAATTTTAGAACTAAATCATGGAGGAACGGTGATCTGAAAGTGAGATTGCCGAGTCACCT